TGCTAAGCAACTGCCTCTGTGAATTTCGAACCCTACGTATTTAATATGCAGAATGATTGCACGCGAGGGAACATAACTGTGTTAGGGAGGGCAATATAATTGTTTCCGGTGCAATATAACTGTATCCGGCGTGATTAAGCAGTTTTTCAGGTTTTTCAGTTATTTAATAAAAATATCATATTTGTGATATAATGGGAAAACTTTTTCAAAAATGTTATATATGATTGTAATATCAAACGCCTGAAGATTGAAAATGAAACCGGTTGAGGTTATTTCGGTGTTGTGAGTTTTTTATTATATATATATTAACATTCAGTGAAATTTTCTTTATGAAATCCATTAGAAATCCACGACGTTCAAAACTCTATAACACCTTGTCACCGCGCGTTAGAATACTAGTACACAGTAGGAACTATATGCATTTTCAATACTCTAGAAACACCAAAATGTACATTGTTTTGACACAATTTAATGAAAAAAAATAATCCCACTTAAATTAACGTAAAAATATAACAAGTGTGCATTTTAAATTATTTGTTAGTTGTTACTTTTTTCCTCGCAATGATCGTTAGCGTTATTTTACTTTGCGACGTCACAAACGTCACGAACGGCTCTTACTTCTATAAAGCACACCACTGTTGAAGGGCGCTAAATTCACATTAAGGATTACCGAAATAAACAGTAATGCAGAGGAAAAATTAGAGAATGTGAGTACATGTATAAGCATTGAATTCATATTTTGGGATGTCTTCGGTCCCATAACACAACTGGCCGTGCCGACAAATTATCATACCTATGGCAAGCCCTTTTACTATTTATTCGGAAAATAAATTTTATCTTCAAATTACAGAGATATCTCTCATTTTAGAGAGATATCTCTTAAAAAATAGAGATATCTCCAAACTTAAAGAGATATCTCTTATTTTTAAGAGATATCTCTATAAGAAAGAGATATCTCTTTAAGTTAGAGAGATATCTCTATAACTTAGAGAGATATCTCTTTTACTTTAAGAGATATCTCTTTCTCCTTGAGAGATATCTCTTTCGTGAAAAGAGATATCTTTGAACGTTAAAGAGATATCTTTTTCACCTAGAGAGATATCTCTTTTACTTTGAGAGATATCTCTTTATGTAAACGAGATATCTCTCTAAGTTTATCATAAGAGATATCTCTCAAAGTGAAAGAGATATCTCTCAAAAGTGTCTTCAAGAGATATCTCTCAAGCAAAAAGAGATATCTCTTTATTGCAAAGAGATATCTCTCTTCATTATTTTTATTTAAATTCCATTTTAAATTACTTCTCCCTTTACCGGAAGTATTTCAAAAGCTGAGAAAACTCGGTCCAGAGTCTGAAAGTGCTTGTCACGTAACTAGCGGGGTTCCTCACTTCCGGGGGTACCTAACACATGCCTGACATGGATTTGTGTATTGAGTTTAGCATGTTTCTGGTTTACGCAAAGCTTTCGGGGAATGTTAAATAGTTTTACTTTAAAAGCGGAATGTGTAATGCCTCCGAATCAACTATGTACGAGTTAACTTTTCGTTTTGTTTATTTCAAGAGTTATTTCCCGTAGTTTGGCAAGCGCCATAGTTTACACGAATGTGACTTTGTAGCCCTTTAGTGTAAGTACACTTTCATTTGATATAATATTAAGATCTAAGAAATCATGTGTTAAAACGCAAACCCTGTAATGTCAAATGTTTCAGCAATTTTAAGTATTATTTTTGCTTTGTCAACATGACCTGGTTTTTGTGTAAGGTTAAGCACGTGGTTTGTGTTCAGATCATTTTCGGAGATTTATACCATCTACTAATCTAGTCACTGTATGTTATACTCCAGTATGTATATTTATAAGGATAATTTGATGATTTCTTGCCGATTTATTACTACTTTCTTGTGTTTATTGTTTAGTAGTAGATCGCTGTTAAACAGTCAGGGGCATAACTCAAACAAGTTATTTTCAAAAATAACTCAAATGAGTTATTTTACATTATTTCACACACACAAATTTTTTTTGAAAAATAACTTAAATAAGTTATTTTTATATCCTACTTGGACATTGATTTCATGGAAATTTCGTGTTTCCTGCGAATTTGCATTGCATTTTGGGATTCCATTATGTTATGCTAAATGGAGTTCACCGACTCCAATGGAGAATTGGTGAGGAGGTGGAGATAAACAGCATTTACACCTTATTTTGTGGTTTTATCCACATGGTTTATATGTCCAATTTTTATCATTAAATAAAAAAAATTCCCCACTTTTCCCAAGACTTAGGAAACTTTTTCCGCATTGAGCAAGGTTTAGATTTAGTCAAACATTTGTTTTTGTCTTGGTGCACGAGCAAAATGCTTTGGTGCACGGGGTGTGAAGTTAGGGAGGAATGACACATAATAACTTAAACAAGTTATTATTTTATTGAGGCTATTTTGGAAAAATAACGTGTTTGAGTTATTAAGGTTGGGAAAAAGTAGGTCATAGCAAAGAGAAGTAACTCATTGAGACAAAAAAATAACTCATTTGAGTTATTTTTGAAAATAACTTGTTTAAGTTATGCCCCTGACTGTTAAAAGTAAAAGTATGGAAACTCGGTTCGGTCATAAATGATACATAATTATAATATACCGTATTATACACGACGGTCGTGCGAATAGCCATTGAAATTATATACACGACGGTCGTGTATATAGACACTGCCATACCGTATATACTCGCCTATGAGTCGGATTTTTTGGAGTTAATTTTTGGTCCAAAAGTCTATGTCCGACTTATAGGCGAGCTATAAAATGAATGGTATTGCATGAGTTCATTTCCTCTGATACTATACGCTTATTAAATATAACCAACTTATAGGCGGACCGACTTATAGGCGAGTATATACGGTAGTCAACATTTTATGTCAGTCATTTTGTATGTAATTTCTAATCACTTTTTATGTAATTTGCAGTCTTTTACGGCACCAATACTAAATAAAAGAGATGAAGCCTTCTCAATAACTGTTCCAGTATAGAATGGTTTATGGACTTACGATGTCATAAAAATTTGGGTGGGAGTGTCCATCAGGAAAATTTCGATCGAGTTACAGGTAAACAAACCAGAGTGTCATCCGTTTTTTGTTTATTTTGAGGGAAAATTAGGTGTTTTATTTTCAGCCGAATGAAATAGTTTTGTAATCATCTTTTGCCTTAATTTGTTTACAGAATTTTCTTGAATCCGAGTACGATAATGTTTTTATCAGCTGATTGTAGAGGAGGAGTTTTGTCAGTGTTAGATGGGTACTAACGTCATCTTGTGGCTGCATCCCTTTTGTTTGGGTAAATATTTTTTTAATATACTAATTTACAGTAAAGTTTTACCTTTCGTATGTCTGTGGATTATCTTTTTGTGCATTAAGATCTATTTAGATCTATTTGAGTATTTCACGAGAGTTTCTGTTCATATTTTTTGCCCAAAGGGACTTGTTTCAGTACTAAATTTTTAACCCACAGTATACATGTTATAACACAAGGTAGCTCGCTGAGTGGAAAACTTACTCATGAAACGGTTTGTGCTGATCCCGCACAGAGATTTTGATTGGATAAAAATCTGTTTCTAAAATTACATCAGATAAACATCTTAATGTTTTCAGGTAAAGTTAGACGTAAACAAGTTCTATTTGCTCTCTTCAATATTTAAACAATGGAATTGAATTTTTTAAACCACTGATTTTTTAATTTTGCTCTTTGCCCGAGACTAGTACATACCATTCTATGGTTGAGTTTGACTTTCCACCCAACAAGCAGAGTTTGGACACTGATTACGGAGATACAAGAAAATAGAGACAAGCATGCCATATTACATGGGTGTGTAGATAAATTATCGTAGAAGAATTAGGTGTAAAAAGGTTACCCGTGCATTTCCTCTTAAAGTGTAAATGAGCATGATTTTAAGGGAGGGGGTACTCCCTGTAATTTGGAGTTAGATACCTTGTGTTATTATTATACTTTAGGTCAAAAATTTATTACAGAAGCTGCATTTAACAAACTTCAGATCTCTTAACATGACCATATTTCTCACTTTAAAGACTGAGAGTATGTTCCCTATTTATAGAGCATGGTTTAGGGATTTTGAAATTTTCTGTCTTTTCAAATTCATCCGCATAGCACAGTGGTTAGAGCGTCTGCTCTAGAGTCGCAAAGTAAGGAGTTGATCCTTATGTCTTGGGTTTGAATCTCACCGTGGGATGTGGAGACTTGTCCTTGGAATGATACAGTATAAACTGTGGCCCAAAATCACAGTAGATATTGGCTCAAAAAAAGATACCTTCCTGCTTAATGGCCCTGAGTGCCGAACATAGGACAAAATTTGCAGCTCTCCACCGGTGTTTCCATATGAGTGAAAAATTCTTGAGAGGGAGGTTAAACAAATCTGTCTGTTGAATTAAGTCATTGATATTAAACAATTGTATACATTAAAACTTATTTTATAGCAGGGGTACAAGAGAACCATGCAGTAACACAGATAAAAGATGCAGTTCCTAAGAGATCCAAAGTCGCAGCTCCTAAGGCTATACTGACAGAATTATCAACATCCAAAACAAATTGATACAAATCAAATACAGGTATGAAATTGATGCATCAAAATAAGTTCTAGGACAAATATTAAATTTATTTTTTGTAAGACATAGCATATCAAAAAATGACAAAAAATTCTGTGATGTCCAGGGATGCTTTACTCCCACCCCACCTCAAGGGTTTAGACATAGACCCCTTTATTCAACTTTACTGTCATCTTACCTCACTATAAAAATAGGGTAAAATACCCTTTCTTACAGATTAAATGTATAATAATTATATATACATGTATGGATTTTTTTTACAAGATGACTATTATACTAGTCAACATTGGCCATCTTTAAAAATGTTTGTTTGATGTAGTTCTACCCACTTTTATCAAGATTGGTAGGTAGGTATCAATATGTTTTTTTTCTTTTGCCTTACAGTATTGAACAATTTGATAACTGTCATATTTGAAACCATGAATATCATCAGAAATCTGTTGATATTTTCATTACTATCTAGAAAGACTTTATATTCATAAATAGAAAAGCATCCTAAAAAAAAATGATAACTTATCTTTAAAACATCTGTGGAATTTAACGGGGGAAAATTGAACATTTTGAAGTGCCCATAAAATGATTGCTAATGGGTAGGGGCCATTTTAACAGGTCGGTCAGAGTAAAACAAACATATCTGTTTTTTATACCCCCTTGTCCATCTGTCTAGCTGTCCATCTGTCTGTGCAAATGTGTCCGGTCCATATCTTTCTTACGTAGGGACTTTAGAATCTACTACTCCATACAAAGATTGCCCATGACCCAAGGATGTGTCATGACCTTCACCCAAGGTTTCATTACGGGAAGTTCAAGGTCATTTGAAGAAAAAGTTCATAATTTGTGTCCGGTCCATTTCTATCTTATTGATAAACTTGGTAGGTTCTCATTTCACACAAAGATTGCCCATGACCCAAGGGTGTGTCATGACCTTGATCCAAGGTCATTTGGGGAACTTTAACTAAGGTCACTGGAAGAAAAAGTTCATAATTCATGTGTGATACATATCTTTATTATCGAAAAACTTAATTCTGAAAAACCCAGCGGGGGGTATTTTGTCCTGTTTGGACAGTTCTAGTTATTGTTGGCCTGAAAATGCAACAAATATTTTTATGCCTCCTTAGAAATTATTTTTATGCCCCGCCATGAATATGGCTGGGGCATATAGTCCGCCATGAATACAGCTGGGGTATTTAGTGTTTGTCATGTCCGTCTTTCCATCACACTTTGCGTTTAGCTCTGCTCAATGCTCATTTCAAAGAAACTATCCAAGATAATTATTTTCATCAAACTTCATAGGCAGATAGATGTTGATGAGATCTGAGCAACTGCATCAACATTCTTTGACCTTGACATTTCCTTTGACCTTGACCTCACTTTTCTTAAATTAGTGTTAAACTCAGTTTTTAAGGATACCATTTAAGATATTTTGATCAAACTTCATATGTTGATACAGTGTACACGTGTACTGATGAGAGCCATTCAATTGCATCAATATTTTTTACCTTGACTTTTCCTTTGACCTCACTCTTTCTAAATTAGTGTCAAACTTTATATGCTAATACATACTGATGAGAGCTATTCATTTGCATCAACATTTTGACCTTGACCTTTCATTTGACCTTGGACTCACTTTTTACAAATTATTGTTCAAATTTCATATGCTGATACATAATGATGAGAGCTTTTCAACTGCATTAACATCTTCGACATAGGTCCTTCCTTTGACCTAGAACTCGCTTTTCTCCAATAAGACAATAAGCGTTAAAACTTCATATGCTGAATTGCTGATGCATACTGATGTAACTAGTGTTGGCAAATCGGACGATTTTTAGTAACCGGTTACTCGCTTCATCTTCCGATTGAGTACCCGGTTACTCGGATGATTTTTGGTAAAAGTATCAATAACTATTATTTATCTTATTTTATACTTATCGGTAGTAGTAATGCACAAATATACTGTATAGAGACATTATATTTACAATACACACATACGATATCGTCAAAGATTTACGATTTAAAAATAAAGAAAATTAATAGGGAATTCGCACACAAAGACAAATAAATACGTCATCGTCAATCACCAGTTTACACTTTTTTTTTCTTTTTTTTTTACCCCAAGCAATCAAAGCTATCAATTATATAAAGTGTGAAAACTAATCAAAACAATTTGATTCACTACAACCATGCACTAGATCAAGTCTAACGGTACTTAAAATTAGGGAAATGTGGAAGTTCTTATACATTTATAAATTATAAAACATTCATATTCTATGCTTTACTATGTAGAATTTATTTTATCCGAGTAACCGAATAGCAGTTTTACTAACCGATACTCGTAACGTTCGACGGTTAACCGGGTACTCGTTGCCAACACTAGATGTAACCAATTCAACTGCATCACTTTTCAAGATATTCTGAAATTTCACACAAATTTTCATGTTGCATTACTAATATACCCTTGGCGGGGCATTAATGTTCTATGGACATATTTCTACTGGTCTTTTTTGTGAATAATGATGCATTTACGAAGAAGAATTTCCATTCTTTTTCTGAGGTTGACTCATCTAGTAAAGTTTCCCATTTTTCTTTTTTTATATGCCCAGATCTGAGGTGCTTTTGTCCTGTCTGTTGGCAACTTTAACCTCTGCCTTAACTTTTGAACCATGAGAGAGACTTCATATTTAATATGCATACTCCACTAATTAACATCTTTCAAAAGACACCAAGGCCAATGACTTGTGACCTTGACTGTGACCTATGTGCTAAAATAGCTTTTTGAACATTAGCTATAACTTTTGATTCATTAAAGATAAGGACATCATATTTTGAATGCTTTCTCCACTAATTAAGCTCTATCAAATGAAACCAAGGTCAATGATCGTGTGACCTTTACTGTGACTTTATCGATTTAAAAACCATTTTGAACTTTTGCCATACATTTTGAACCATTAAAGATCAAGACTTCATATATGATATGCATACTCCACTAATTAAGCTCTTTCAAATGACACCAATTTCAATGACCTTGTGACCTTGACCTATATGCTAAAAATAAATTTTTCGAATTTGTAAAAATGTCGTCTCCAGGTGCAAAGTGTTTCACAAACAAATCTTGTTTTGAAGGAGTTTTAATATTTTAATTTCTGTAGAATTTTATGTTACATATAAAAACCGAAAAATATATTTAAAATCAAATCATTTTTATTTCAGTACTTTGTGACAGTGGGAAGATAGAATTTAAAAAATGGACATGGCACAATATTACTGCATCAGAGATCAATCCGGGTTTACTTATAATTTGAAGAAAAACAGTCAAGCATCATTTGGAGCTACATATGTCACTGCCTTAACAATATGCCGGCTTATATAACCAAGCAAGCACAGTGACCAGTTGTACCTATGATGTTGGAAGAGATCCTAAAAACCTTCCAGTACACTCATCACTACCTGCAAAGAAATAAAAATTCAAATGACTTGTATCAACATTTGTGTACATTTGTACTTCATCTGGCTTGTATTTTCAGTAATCATTAGCCTTTACACTGTTGCTTCCTTCAAACAAAATTGCATAAGTACTAACTTGCAGGTGTAAAATGTTTGAAACAGTTTGCTTCTCCCAAAGGAAATTCTCTGCCAATTAGCAGTGCATGAGCAGTTGATTGATGTCACAGTTCCACTGGCAAAATATTTGTAGCTGAATGGTGCCATATAAAACACTTTTAACAAGAACTTGGAAACATCCTAGAAGTGAGCATCTTCTACAAGAAATTAAGTGAATGCTTTCTTGAATGTTAATAATGATATAAAATGCTTGTGTACATCCTATATATATATACAACTAATTACTCATGTAACTACCAAATATACAAAAATTAAACTTCCTTAAATTTGTTCTTGATGTTTATTTATAGTGTATTTAAATAAGTATCCAATATTTGTCTTGTTATACTGAAGGATTGTTAAGAAAATGTCGTTCGTTGAAACAAATGCGCAAACAAGTTACATTCTGCACAGATAGCAATTTTTGTGGAGAACCTATCAACATATATTTTCAATCGTTGGGATGTAATGTTAGGCAAACAGTAGGAGAATTATACTTGTTAACAAATGTATTTTATCGATCAAATTTCAAATACATGATTTAATAAGAAAGCAATGACAAATTTAGCTAGAATTATGGTCCATTGATTTATCACCATGGTGTGTGAGCTTTTGTGAACTTGATACTGAACTAGTAAGTTTGAAATATTGAAGTAAAGAAAAGTGCAGCCCAAACCAAAAAATTTATCCTGTACCTGATTAAAATGAGTCCCAGCATCAATACTTGGAAGTTGCCACACTTTTCATGAGTACAAGAATTATTCGATATGCCTCAGCAACAGATCTATACTGGTACATGTAAATGAATGGCACATTCAGTTGAAGCATTGTCCCTTTTTCGGTACCCCTTGGATCCCTGTAAAATATATATGATGATAAAAGTAGATAAATGTTCCATCATAGAATGATGAATGTCCTATGGACCCAGTGAGGGCCTGTTGGAAGACACTGTTTGATTGTTCTAGCTGTGTCTGTCTCTTAATTGTAAGAGTACTAGTATTTTGGAAGGGGGTCATAAGGCTTTACAGTTAATATAAATTGATTGTACATGTGTGTTGTTTAACATCCTACAGTTAATATTGAAAATGAGTATATACATCCCTGTGTAAATTAAAAAAGGAATGTTGGACATTTTTATTTCTGAACTATTAACAAATTAAAGAAAAACATTCTATCAGGATTATGTTTAATCGACCCTGTATTCCCGTGATTGACGAATTTGGTCACATGCATTTCCTATTTGTCTTAATTAAATTTGCATTCTATATCCCGACTCCAGCTGCCCCTTGATCTAAATCCAGGCACGTAGCAACAAGAGGGGGGGGGGGCGCAACGATACCTCTTCTATAGAGAATGTGCATTGAATGGTTTGTTGTTCCCCCCCCCCCCACACTTCTTACCACAGTATAGAATAACAGTATAGTGATATCATGGAAATGTAGTATTTTATGCTATAAAAATTGGAAGTGAAAGGAATTTGGTCTTGAACAAAATTGGCCACTAACACCCCCCTCCCCCCCTCCTGAAATAGGATTATCGAGTTTGGTCAACTTTTACTGGTAAGTATAAAAATCAAATCTCTCTAGTTGCGCCCCATCCCCACCCCGACCCCTTTCAAAAACGATGCTATGTGCCTGAAATCAATTTATGGAACCAATCTTTGGAGAACAATTTAGTTTGAAAACAATTTCAACTTACTTTTATGCTATAAAATGCTCGTTACCCATTTGGAATAGCTTGTATGTACGTAATTTACTAAAACAATAAAGCGATTTAACGTTGTTTACCTGTATCAATCAATCCATTTTCTCCTTTTTCTTTTTCAATAATCAAAAAACGAACGACTTAATAAACATTACTTCCTGTTTCGCTTTCGTTTACAACGGGAGAATTAATTATGTTATTTTAAGGGTGATTTGAAAAGAGATATCTCTCTTAGTTAGAGAGATATCTCTTTAGCTTAGAAAGATATCTCTTTTTGAAAATCTATAGAGATATCTCTCTAACTAAGAGAGATATCTCTTTTAAACTTGTTAAAGAGATATCTCTCTAACTTTAAGAGATATCTCTCTCGCTGAAAGAGATATCTCTCTAGCTTATAAAGATATCTCTCTTACAAAAAGAGATATCTCTCTAACAAAAAGAGATATCTCTCTAACAAAAAGAGATATCTCTCTATCAAAAAGAGATATCTCTTTTGTTTAAAGAGATATCTCTATTAGTCAAAGAGATATCTCTTAAATTGAAAGAAAAAATTATTTTACGAATAAATAGTAAAAGGGCTTGCCATACATACCGCGCTAACACGCGGTATTCAATTTGTCGGCACGGCCAGGTGTGTTAGAGGACCGAAGACATCCCAAAATATATATGAATTCAATGCTTATATATATATATATATATATATATATATATATAGAGAGAGAGAGAGAGAGAGAGAGAGAGAGAGAGAGAGAGAGAGAGAGAGAGAGAGAGAGAGAGAGAGAGAGAGAGAGAGAGAGAGAGAGACCAACATCTGTAAAGGGGTGTTTCTAACTAATGACAATAACTATAAAAGGGACCAGGCAAAATTTATCACAATGATGGGACCAATACAAAATAAATTTCTCATTTGAAAAATACCCAAAGGCTTTAGAATTTCAACAAATTATATGTCCCATGCCTTTAAATTTGTAAAAAGAAACTAACTGTCCCATGGTAAAATGGCGATGACTGTGAGAATATTGCAACACAAAAAAAAACACATAAAAATATCAAATTACTTAACAAATGACACGTCTCTCTCCCAGTTTGCTTTCAATGAGCAACAGAACAACGATCATTTTTTAAACATTTCCCTTCCTTCACTTAAACAACCAATCAAATTAACGATAAAACTTCTGGTTCGTCTTCATAAACCGTGTACAAATTATAAGAAACTTCTACAAAGGAATTTCCAAGATATACGTTTAACTTTACAGCCATTCGTTTCTCGAATTCAACTGAGTCAACCATTTTTTGTCACAAGGGATCTACCTTATGAGGTCATTTTCACTTTGGGACGTCACAAACACTGAGAAAAAACGTCTCATCACATACGCAATTTACAGAACATGTGTATGACTTTATGTGTGCTAAATTTCATTCTGATCTGAATTGAGGTTTGTAAATATAGAGATAGTTCGCGAACGTTTTGATACAGCATTAATTTAAAGTTATGTGTTGCACTTTGTATGACTTTTAAAACTGATAATGATTTAAAAAAAAAGATTTAACTATTAGTAAATGATAAGCTATTTGCTTTATGGTACTATGCTAAAAATTATTTTTGTCCCATGGTTTTCTTCGATAAAGAAAAAAAAATTGTCCCATGCCTATTTGTACAGGTCCAATTATTGTGATCAATTTTGCCTGGTCCCTTATTATTTGCATTTATTTGCCTTCATGCTGATAATTCACCTTTCCTAGATCTCGGAAATAAGATTCATTCTAGGGAAGTCTAAATCCTTTCTTAATGCATATAAAAGCTGGATGTTTGCCAGGGACGCTCAAGTGTGCTCTTTTTTAAAATTATGTTTTAGTTTCCTCATATTAAGCAGCAGAGCTTAAATTCTTTCATCTTCGGTAAGGAGCTCTCAAGAAAGGTAGGTTTTATTTTATTTTTGATAAATTATTTTTCATAAGCATTGTAATGATAAAATAAAATAGACAAATGAAAGAAACAATAAAATTCATCTTTATTTATGATTTTCAAGTCTGCAAAACTCAAGTTGAAAAGATAATTGTGTTTTTTCGAAAGGGATTGAGTATGGGAAAATTTTACACATTAAACTTTAAAATTGAGAAAATAAAAGTGGAAATATTCCTTTAAAAATTTCATAGTTTCCATAGTCATTGTAATTTTATAAAAAAAAAAAATGAATGGTTTTTTTAATGTAATTTACAAAAACAATCCTCAATGTATTTTTTTTCGAATCTCCGTAGTAATAAAAATAGATTTTTGAAAGCGCCGACAATTAGCTCCCTGTCTTGTTCAAAGTCAATTTTTTTTATTTCATATTTTATTATAGTTTCTAATGAATCTAAACTGAATAATATCCTTTGATGACTGCAATCGTGCTTTTGTTATTTGCTTTCAACAATACATTTATTGTTGAACAATAAATCTATATTAGAATATCAGGTTTTTATTATCATGGTTTTGTACTGAACAAAGGGGCCTCTATTCATAGGAGAAATTGTGTGAAAATGCGATTCAACATTTATCAACTCTGAACTTTCTCTTTGAACAATTTTTGACATAAATATTTTACAATCTTATGATCTTAATTATAAAAATGGTCAACTACTAACTAAATGGGATCAAATAACAGAGTTCTTTAGTTGAAAAGAAATATCTCACTATTGCATTGCAAAAAAGACGCAAATAATAAAAAAATAACAAATTAGAATGTATTTTGATATAAATATTAATTCATAGTCGACATCATCTTGTGCTTTCCTCATTAAACTTAAACTACAACAAACCAGTAAAAAGCTGCAAATTTAAACCTAAGTTCAACACTTAAGACTTTTAGAATTGCCAGCATCAACAGTAACACTCGTCGACAGTCTTACTCAATTGTATTGTCTGATGTTTAGTCGGAGAACAGTGACAGCCATCTTTCACGTCCTAGGTTAGACACGGAAGTAGAGAACGAGAATCAAACCCAATCCCTCGACTACAGAAAGAGCATAACAAATAACTTCAGCAACTTGTCACTTAGTCACTTATATCTAAAAAAGATATCACCGTATTTTAAAATTCTTTTGAGATATTATAAACTTTTAATTATATAAAAAAGAAAACGCCAATGAGTTCAAGAATATTTAGTAATTAGTACCTTCACTGTCATAGTTACCTCTGTTTTAATATTTTCCAATTATTTTCTGTAATTTGAAAAACCATCTGTTGTCAAAATAATGTTTTCTTTTTTTCTTTTTGTAATTGCTATGCTTATGCATTCCTTCGTCACATCTTTATAACCATCTTCATCTCCATTCTAAAATAAAAACATATCCTTTTTGGTACTAGAATAGTATGATTTTTTATTAAACCGGCGTTATGTTACATATCTTATTGGTATTTTCTTGCAAATGCAAGCAAACAAACAAGTTCAAATAAATGAAAATCTACATATAATATAAAAACCTATGAATGGGAGATAAAATACGAAACTTCGAAAATTTTAGAGGTTGAATCTTACGTAATTTGAAACAAAGCTTGTCCTTGTCAGTGATCGTATCTCTTTGAATGTAAACTAGGGATGTCAACGAGTACCCAGTTAAACGGGTACTCGATCGAACGTCCGAGTATGGAATGCTAAAACTGTTAATCGGATGTATATTTTTTTCTTATTCCAAGTATAAAAAAATAACTTAAAATGTGCATACGATAATTAAGGTGCCGTCATCTACACCTGTTAAGGAGACCGACAGGAGTTTTATTATGTGAAAACTACAATAGCAAAACTCTTCATTTTTATATCATGTATAACTTACATTAACTTAAGCGAACAAGCAAAGTTTGGTAGAAATCTACCGTCCAGGTATTTTTGAAGGACCGTCTCAAAATAGAGATATATTTACTATAGGATTATATAGGAAAATGCAAATTTTTAGCACTTTAAAGCAAATTATACAAATACTACAATAGAGTTTTTGTTCATTCTATAATATTTGATGAGTAATACTATATTATACAATATATGTAAGAAATACAAAATTCTACAGTCTTGTTGCTAGAGGGGGCATCTCAAAATGCCAAAAATTAACAATTTTTCATGTTTTTATAGAGTAGTACAAAATATGACGGGCACAAAGGATTCATATGAAAACATAATAAAAATAATGGAGAGATTCTCTAATTTCTATGTTTTAAATTTCAAGTGCGTATGTTTATTACCTTTTCTTTAATAACATTTTATTGCCCCTTCCTTTAAGAGCTTCAGTTTATCATAACGTCAAAAACACACTGTAACGACGTCAACCTACATATCAATGACAAAATCGGTTAAAAATCAGTTACATAAAATTGGAATTACATTTTTAAATTCATAATTTCTTAATTTTGTTTAATTCTAATAACTTAGCGAAAAAAGTTGCTTTAAAACAGTAAATACGCTTCATTTTACTATGATGCGCGAAATATTGTCACAGTCGGCCCCCTTAAACACCCGTTATCGCCTGTGGCTGTGTAAATACGGTAATTAGTGACCAATCACCTGGTGATGATTAAACAATACACAGCTTTTCTCACCTATTGTGGTCCTTATTTTTAAGAAGGCTTCAATGACTTGTTTTCATTGATGATCGTTTAAGTATGATCTGTTTTTATCTTTAAATCATTTTTTAATTATTTAGTAAACGAGTACCGAAATTCGACATGCGTGGATATGCCGCAACCGACTTAAGAATGTGAATAAATATTTTGGTAATGCATGCAATTGAAGATTGAAAAAAAAATTAAAGTCAGCTATGCGGAGTAATTTAACGTATATGAGTGGTACAATAATAATACACGACAAGGAATCCCAACAACGTAGGTTCCCTGTGCAAATAAAATGTAAATCATTTGTAATCATTGGTGTATAAAATTGATTACTTTTGTGTGTATGTATTTTCAATAAATAAATAAAGTACAATAAATCATTATCGTTGGACTTATATCTTTTAAACATGCATTTAAAAGTTAATGAAAACAACATTGGGGTTTTACAGAGCTTAACTGGGTGTAAAAAAATTAATAGACTTGTATTTATAAATATACTGAGTTCGTTCGATGTA